GGCAGGTTGAGATCCCCCATAACTATAAGTCTAGGGGTCTCAACCGCCACCCCGGCTATCACGTCAGCCAGCTCAGGCAGGGCCGTTGACACATAGCAGGGGGCCAGGTATATTATCAACAGGCCCACTTGCACCCCTTGCCCCCACTTCACAAGGAGGGACTCTGCACCATCTATCTGAGGCACAGTGGCCTCCCTTGTACATAGGTTCTCCCTTATAATGACCGCTACCCCCCCGCCCCTACCCCGGGTCCTTGGCTGATGAAATGCCTGGAAACCTGGTGGGCACAGATCAACAAGGGGAACTCCCCCCTCTATGCCCAACCAGGTCTCGGTGATACCTGCCAGGTCCGCTCCCCCCTCATGAATAAGTTCTTGAATGAGGGGGGCTTTATTCACCACGGACCTGGCATTGCACAGCATCAGCCGATAGTCCCGGGCCTGAGGATCTGAGGTCCCTGGAGGTCGAGTAGAGCCCTGAGGATCGGAGCATCCACAAGCTTGTAAGCAGCATGTGCGTGCTCCCAAAACCCGATATGGTCCTCTGCTCCCGCCATATCTGCCCCTCCCACTGACCGTACCTATCACACCACCCTCCGCCAGCTCCCCAGTCTCTTCCCTTACCACCCCGCGCCCCCCAGACAGGACTGGCCTTGGCCTCAGAGAGGACTCCCCTAGTTCCTCCCGGGCCAACCCCGAACCCCCTAAAAATTTAGTAAAACACCCCTCTAAGAAGACCCGTAGTTTTTTTCTTCTTAGTTCCCTCAGTGCTGTCGCTGAGTGCCACCTCTCGGGGTTCCAGACCCCTTCATCAAGGCCGACCCTTAGAATGGTATTGGGCCATGCCTGCGCGATGGGGGAGTCGCGCAGGGCCAGCAGTTCTAGAATTGCAGCTCATCGAAAGAGCACCAAGCATTTTGGTTGCTTTCAGCCAAGTATCTGGAAGACCATATGAAAAATGAGGATGTTGCCTTCCAAGGGACATCATCCCAATTCCACCTTTGGAAAATTCTTAACAGCAAATACTTATTTTAAAACCCGTGCAGTATGCCAGTATTTCTCAGCATTGGCAATTGTAAGATGGGTGATCTTCAACTCCCAGAATTCCTCAGCCAGCCATTCAACGCATCTTAAAGTTGCCAACGTTGAGAAACACTGCTCCTTGCTAATGAGAGGGAGAATCTGGTTCAAATCTCTGCAACTGATGGACTTCCTAATTGGACTGAACATTTCTTCTCTTTCTCTCACTCTGTCTCTCTAATTCCTCCATCCCAGCCTCCTTTTGCAGTGTGGAATAATAATCCTGACTTCCCTCACTGAACTTTCAGACAAGAATCTTGAGAAAATGAATGTTCTGCCCAACCCATCCCATAAAAAACAAGTAACCCTCTGATTAGCTAAAAATTACTGTCATATTTTTTCTAGATATTTCTATCATACAATCACAATGAAATAATGTGTACCTCTAAAGGAACAACGAGGGCAAAAAGAGAGGCAAGAACAACCATAATCTTCATTTTGTTGGATAAATCTGTAAGAACAATTAGTTATTTAGTTATTTACAGTTATTTAACTGAATGCCAAGTTAATTCATACTGCTCAAGAAAATTTTGTTGGTCTCCAAATGACTTTTAGAACTCTCTCCTACCATGAGATGGACATCTGGCATTTTGCTTCCCAGATCTCATGGCTCTAATTATACCTATCAATTCTATGCAATTATGTTTAAGAAAGTGATATAAAAATGTATTGATTTCTAATGAATATCAATGATTTAAAAAGTCTTCAATATTCTCTTGAAAACTTCCTAATTATTTTAAAAGCAAATCTAAAGCTTTGTCCCTCCCATTGACTGCATCAGAGTCTGAACTGAATCTGATTTAGGTTTAAGAGACAGAGCCACTAGAGATGTTAATGATCTTGAACAATGTGAATCCTTTGCACTTTTTATATTACACCCTTCCAAAGCTTTTGAGCAGAATCCTCTCAGAGGCTGCATTCAGGCTATGAAATCTCTTGCTTCATGGGGGGGGGGGAGAACCCTGAATTTCTAACAGACAGAGAAGACCACGGGAGCCTCAGTGACTAATTCTCTAATCCCTTTGTACCTAAACTTTATCTAACTGAGCATTGGAAGGAAACTATTAATAGAAAAAAGTATTACTATTTTATATAAACATTTTCATGTTCTCTTTTATTCATCATGGTAAAAAGAGTACAACAGTTAAAATAAATATAAGTAGACACTACAGTCCTATGATCCTAAGACAGTGGTTCTCAACCTTCCTAATGCCGCGACCCCACGCACCCACGTGACCACACGTGCAACCACATGTGACCACACGCATGACCACACGTGACCCACACGTGACCGACACACACAACCATATGTGACCCACACACACAACCACACATGACCCACACACACAACCACATGTGACCCACACGCACAACCACACGTGACCCACACGCACAGCCACACATGACCCACACGCACGCGGAAAAGGAAATAACTCCAACCAAGGAAATGGGCAGAAAGTCCTGGCGTTTCTACAAAGCAGCAGCAGCAGCAGCAGCAAATCAGGGTTTCCCAGTTCCTGGCTCCGAGCAGCCCGGCGCAAAGCGGCCTTTCCTCTTAGGCAGCCCTTGGAAAAATGCACTTTTTTCTGTCTTCCCCCTCCCTCCTTTCATGGCCCCAGCGGGAAGAGGGGAGGGGAGAGCCACTTCTTCCACTCTCTTCCCTCCCCTTGCAAGAGCCCGCTTCACCAGCGATCAGAACCTGAGAGAGAACCCGTGACAAGCGCTCCCGCAGCAGCCAAACCCTTTCGCCCTCATGCACACTCACACACTCACACACTCACTCACGACCCTGCCCTGATTCCTCTACCCTACTGGGGAGTTCAGCTGCCTGTCTGCCTGGCTCTTTCTCCGCCCTCCGGGTGAAGGGAGCCTGCCTGCGAAGACTTCGTGCAGGGGGATTCTCACATCGCGTCACCCCCCCCCTCCAGCAGCTGGGCTTGGCTGGCTGGTAGCAGCTCCCCTTTTCTCAGTCCAGACACAAAGGGGAGTGGCTACTAAACTGCCAGTCTCAGCGCTTGGCCCATGGGCGCCGCGAAGCCCCACCCCGCCCTACCCTGCTGCTGCTGCTCCGCTCCACCCGTCTGCTGAGCTCGAGATCGCCCTCCTTCCTTCCTTCCTTCCTTCCTTTCCTCCCTCCTTCCTTACTTCCTCCCTTCTCGAGAGCACTCCAACCCTTGCGCGCTGGTCCGACACAGCCTTTGGATGCCTGGAGCATAGAGATGGGTCTCGTGCTCGAGCTAGAGCGGCCCGCTCAGCAGGCCGAATCTCGCTGCCGTTGGTCGAGGTCTTTTCAGTTATGTTGCGGGCGAGCCGAAGAAGAGGGGCCCGGCAGAAGGTTCTCTGCACCCCTCCTGTACCGCCATGTTGCCAGGGAAGGAGAGTTGAGAAAAGAATGGGAGAGGGGACAGAAGAGGGGGAGAAAGGGGGGTAGAAGAAAGAAAAGAAGAGGAAAGAAAAAGAAACTCTGCTTCTTGTGTGGTGCAGCGGCAGGCAAGCCCAGGCGCTCCTTGGCAGCCATGGCAAGCAGCAGCGACGGCGCAGGCTGACCACCGGCTGGGCCACCAGCTGGCCCAGCCCAAGGGAGGTAAAACCCAGAATGGCCCTTTAGAAATGCATGGACACCACTTCCGGAAGTTCATTCTGGGCCTTGGAGGCCCGGAGGAGGCCTCCCAGACCCAGAACGCTCGCCAGAAATGTGTGGACACTGCTTCAGGAAGTCCAGGCCCAGAACAGACTTCGGGAAGCGGCATCCACACAGACAACCAGTTGTTCACGTATCCATATATTTGTACTCCTCCAGGGTGGATAGGTATTCTCTTACTAATTCCTCACCCTGACTTCTATACCTGTTCTATCTCCCTTGGTATTGCTTTTGATAGGTTGGGCTGTTTCTTCCTTTTGCATAAAAACAGATTCAAATAAGGAATGAAGTGGTTTTGCTTTCTCCCTGCTGCCTGTCACCTTCTTGCAATCTGCTCCCATTAGTAGACCTGTCATTTCCTTGACTTTCTTCTTGTGCCTTACATATTGAAATATAAGGTCCCAGTCCCTTACTTAAACTTGAGATACCATATCAATCTAATCAGATAACCCAAGCGGAGACTTCTTG